CTGCCCCTCTACTCCCTGCTGCCCTTCTACTCCCCGCTGCCCCTCTACAGCCTGCTGCCCCTCTACTGCCTGCGGCCCCTCTACTCCCTGCTGCCCTTCTACATCCTGCTGCCCTTCTACTCCCCGCTGCCCTTCTACATCCTGCTGCCCCTCTACTCCCCGCTGCCCTTCTACTCCCTGCTGCCCTTCTACATCCTGCTGCCCCTCTACTCCCTGCTGCCCTTCTACTCACTGCTGCCCCTCTACTCCCCGCTACCCCTCTACTCCCCGCTGCCCCTCTACTCCCCGCTGCCCCTCTACTCCCTCCTGCCCCTCTACTCCCCGCTGCCCCTCTACTCCCCGCTGCCCCTCTACTCCCCGCTGCTCCTCTCTTGTGGGAAGTCCGGCCCTGGGCGTGTCACAAGTTGGGGGGAGGAGATTGTGGGGTGCAGTTCATACCGGTTGACGGTGGCGCTCAGTTTCAGGTGGTCCGGGTTGCGGATGAGTTTGTCCAGAATGCTGACAATCAGGGAGAATGGCGGGCGCTCATTGCGGTCCCTCTGCCAGCAGTCCAGCATCAGTTGGTGTAACGCGGTGGGACAACCCATAGGGGGCGGCAGCCGGAACCCTTCCTCCACCGAATGTATCACCTAAAACACAGAGAGTCGTCATCCTTCACGCCACGCACGGTGAACGCACATTCCTCGCTGATCATTGAAGGGCGCCCAGTGACAAGGCACGCCACGCACGGTGAACGCACATTCCTCGCTGATCATTGAAGAGCGCCCAGTGACAAGGCACGCCACGCACTGTGAACGCACAATTCTCGCTGATCATTGAAGAGCGCCCAGTGACAAGGCACGCCACGCACTGTGAACGCACATTCCTCGCTGATCATTGTCTATGTGTATAAAGAGGTCAGTGCCGGTGCAGAATCGGCCTCACGCTCCATCAGTCTCATACAATGTATATATTACATTGGGACCATACACGGTGTGTTTCAGTCTATGGGGGATGGGGGCCACAAACACTCCGCCAGAAGAAAGACTTCCTAATATCACAACCATCACGTGGTGAGCAGAACGGTCTACGCACATCTCGGTTGGTCATGTTCCAGTACGGTCTCTCGCCATAAGCCAGGACCTCCCACATGACAATTCCGTAGCTCCACACGTCGCTCGCCGAGGAGAACTTGCGGTAGGTGATGGCTTCCGGTGCGGTCCAGCGGATGGGAATCTTTCCTCCCTGAGGAGACAAGGAGCAGATCGTTTCTCTGTAAGTTCTCAGACGTTGACTTCCAGTGACGCTCTCCGGTTTACAGTGGACACTCACGGTGGTGGTGTAGGCGGCTTCAGGGTCATCCTCCAAGACCCGAGAGAGGCCAAAGTCGGACACTTTACACACCAGGTTGCTGTTGACCAGAATGTTGCGAGCAGCCAGATCCCGATGAACAAATCCCAAATCAGAAAGATATTTCATTCCGGAAGAGATTCCCCTCAACAGGCCGACCAGCTGAATTATGGTGAACTGACCATCCTGGCTCTGAAACAGAAAAACATCCCCAACTTCATCCCAGCTCCAGACATTGGGATAGACCTCTGCCGTCTGGGTTTACATCCCCCGGGTCACATCCTCCCTTCTTCCCACATTGACCCTCGTCCTAGCCATTGTTTCCATATCCCATCCATACAGACAATACAGCTGACCTCTGTGAACAATGGGTGAGAGTCTCACAGGTGGAGCCTCCAGAAGCTCTCCAGGGTGGAACCTCCATCAATGCTTCTGGTTGGAGCTTCTAGGAGACCTCCAAATTGGAATTCCTGGAGAGACGCGGTCAGAGACCCCCAGCTCGGAATGATGTTTATTATAAGTGCTTACCCTGAGAAATGTATCCAGAGAGCCATTCTCCATGTACTCTGTTACAATCATCGTTAACTTACCTGAAAACACAGAAATAAAGGTACATAGCATGTGACTGGGACCTCTCACGTCTATGTCTGGTTCCAGCATGTGGGATGGTGTTGAGGAACTTACTTCGGGTCACCACACCTTCCAGATGAATGACATTGGGGTGATCAAACTGGGCCATGATGCTGGCTTCACTCAAGAAGTCTCGGCGCTGCTTCTCATTGTAACCAACTTTTAATGTCTTAATGGCCACGGGGATTTCCCGCTTTCCTGGGAGCTTCAGGCGACCATAGCAGACCTCTCCAAACTCCCCTAGAGAGAGAAGCCCAGACAGGAGTGAGAAGAAGAAGAACCAACATCCCCTCCCCCCCAAGTCATGTAGAAGTGGCAGACAGTTTCCTCATGTAGAGTTTAGAAGACCGGGAAGTCTGAGAGGAAAGTGTGTTTGGGGTCCAGCTTTATATCTTGCCATATCTTCATAACATCCAACCTGACCTAGACCAGCCCAATCCCCATCGGTGAGAAGTCTCACTTACCAGAACCAATTATTTTCTCAATCTTAATTCTGGAGGCCTCGATCTCCCGAGCAAATTCACGGACGGCCTGGCAGGGGTCCTCGTACGTGTGAGGGTCCACGTAGAGTTTGGGCTCTGTAAAGGTTACTGGTGGACAAACACAAGAGAGAGAAGACTGAGCACCTGGTCCTGTACCGTGCGGTGTTCTATAGACGTGTCTTGGCCTCCACTCACAATGTCCATTCTGATAATGCATCTTCTCCTCATCAGAGTCCTGGAAGGCCTTGCTGTACCCACAATGCCTGAGGATAGACAGACATGTTGAGGACATGTAGACCATGGTGAACCGGTAACCTGGTGGAATGAGTTCTGGGACTCACCGCTTTTTGCAGATGAGGAAAGTCAGGAGAATAACCAGACCCGTTATTAGCGTCAGACAGATCCACACAATGGTCATGGTGTTGTAGCGCAGGGCCGCTGTCATACAAACACAAGGTTGTGGGCTGACCAATGGGACCAATCAATCTGTATTATCACGTATAGTGTGTTCTTGTGGGAGGTCTCTGGACAATACAAAGAATAAAGATTTCCTGACCAATCAGAGTCATATTTAACCCGACATATGAGTAGAAAACAAAGGCTGTAACATGTTACCGCGTGTGCAGAACACGGCTTCCCATATGTCGGGGTTAAAGGTTGGCGCAGGACACACATTCTAATATCTCAGTGTATTGCCGGATAACCATTATTATTGATCAGGTGTCTCCGCCCACATTCCAGACTTACTTGCTTTACTAGTCTCTATCTCTACCGTTTGGCTAAACTTGCCACAGCCAGCTGAGGTTCGGGCCCTGACCTGGAAGACATAGCGGGTGGAAGGTTTGAGGCTGGTCACTACAGCCTTGGTTTCCTTGGCCTTCAGGGTGGAATAACTCTGCATCTCCTTGTCCTGGAGGCCGAGAAGAACATGGAACCTTCAGCAAAACAGCCGACCAATCCCACCGACATCACACACACACACATGACAATGACATGAATGGATGGACAGGTAACATGACATCATCAGTCCCGGCACTCCGGGTCTGCGGGACACAGGGAAGGACAACGTTTTGTACAACACTACAGCCCGTACGTAGATATATACCGGTGATACTTCTATGAAGCGGAGATTAGGATTGAAGAATAAACGGTGAAACATCAGCAGATACAAGAGATGGAAGGATGAAATGTGACACCGGAACGGAGAAGACGCCAAGAATCACCTTCTCAAAGTATTTCATCTCATATTCCAGGATGATGCCGTTCGGCTGGTCAGGCTCCTCCCACACAAGCGTAATGCTGTTCTGGGAAGTCTTGTCTTTACGAATGGCGACAACCTGAGAAGGGGCTGACAGGTGGAGAGGGTCAATTCTGACGGCTACATTGTTATATCTGAACAAATGTATTGGACTGAGGGGCCCCTCTGCTATCGGGCCCCGAGTGAGGCCGCACGGCTCTCTAGTTCCACCCCCCACACTCTTGCCCCCCCGGATTCCTGACAGCAGTACATGTAGACTTCTCCCAGCCTCCTACCTGCCTGGTTGGTGGTAATATTCACAGTGGAGAACATCCGCTGCTCCAAGCTGAAGTCAGATACGCCATTGACGGCCTCCACCCAGAAGGTATAGTTCATATGGGCCTGGAGGTTGGCGACAATCAGGGAGGTCTTGGCTATGCTCATCTGTTGGGGGGTATAACGGACTCCTCCTCCACAAGGCTCACACTGACCCGCATCCCAAGCACAGCGACGGCAAATAACGTTGTATGTGACATCCCTGCGCCCGCCTGTGTCTCGTGGTGGGTTCCACTCGAGGGTTACCGTTGTGCCATTTACACCGGAGATGAGATTGACCGGAGCCGAGGGAGGACCTAAGAGGAACACAGGGCAAAGATTAACTGACCGGAAGACCTGAGCAGGATGGAGGCCATATAAAGAAGACGCACAGGACCTGAGGGGGATGGAGGACACGTAGACACTGAGTGGAGGACCTGAGAGGGATGAAGAACAGGTAGAGACTGAGTGGAGGACCTGAGGGAGATAGAGGACACGTAGACACTGAGCGGAGGACCTGAGGGAGATAGAGGACACATAGAGACTGAATGGAGGACCTGAGAGGGATGGAGGACACATAGAGACTGAATGGAGGACCTGAGAGGGATGGAGGACACAGAGACTGGGCGGAGGACCTGAGAGGGATGGAGGACACGTAGAAACTGAGTGGAGGACCTGAGAGGGATGGAGGACACAGAGATTGGGCGGAGGACCTGAGAGGGATGGAGGACACATAGAGACAGAGTGGAGGACCTGAGAGGGATGGAGGACACAGAGACTGGGCGGAGGACCTGAGAGGGATGGAGGACACAGAGACTGGGCGGAGGACCTGAGAGAATAGAGGACACGTAGAAACTGAGCGGAGGACCTGAGGGAGATAGAGGACACATAGAGACTGAGTGGAGGACCTGAGAGGGATGGAGGACACATAGAGACTGAATGGAGGACCTGAGAGGGATGGAGGACACAGAGACTGGGCGGAGGACCTGAGAGGGATGGAGGACACGTAGAAACTGAGTGGAGGACCTGAGAGGGATGGAGGACACAGAGATTGGGCGGAGGACCTGAGAGGGATGGAGGACACATAGAGACAGAGTGGAGGACCTGAGAGGGATGGAGGACACAGAGATTGGGCGGAGGACCTGAGAGGGATGGAGGACACAGAGATTGGGCGGAGGACCTGAGAGGGATGGAGGACACAGAGATTGGGCGGAGGACCTGAGAGGGATGGAGGACACAGAGATTGGGCGGAGGACCTGAGAGGGATGGAGGACACAGAGATTGGGCGGAGGACCTGAGAGGGATGGAGGACACAGAGATTGGGCGGAGGACCTGAGAGGGATGGAGGACACAGAGATTGGGCGGAGGACCTGAGAGGGATGGAGGACACAGAGATTGGGCGGAGGACCTGAGAGGGATGGAGGACACAGAGATTGGGCGGAGGACCTGAGAGGGATGGAGGACACAGAGATTGGGCGGAGGACCTGAGAGGGATGGAGGACACAGAGATTGGGCGGAGGACCTGAGAGGGATGGAGGACACAGAGATTGGGCGGAGGACCTGAGAGGGATGGAGGACACAGAGATTGGGCGGAGGACCTGAGAGGGATGGAGGACACAGAGATTGGGCGGAGGACCTGAGAGGGATGGAGGACACAGAGATTGGGCGGAGGACCTGAGAGGGATGGAGGACACAGAGATTGGGCGGAGGACCTGAGAGGGATGGAGGACACAGAGATTGGGCGGAGGACCTGAGAGGGATGGAGGACACAGAGATTGGGCGGAGGACCTGAGAGGGATGGAGGACACAGAGATTGGGCGGAGGACCTGAGAGGGATGGAGGACACAGAGATTGGGCGGAGGACCTGAGAGGGATGGAGGACACAGAGATTGGGCGGAGGACCTGAGAGGGATGGAGGACACAGAGATTGGGCGGAGGACCTGAGAGGGATGGAGGACACAGAGATTGGGCGGAGGACCTGAGAGGGATGGAGGACACAGAGATTGGGCGGAGGACCTGAGAGGGATGGAGGACACAGAGATTGGGCGGAGGACCTGAGAGGGATGGAGGACACAGAGATTGGGCGGAGGACCTGAGAGGGATGGAGGACACAGAGATTGGGCGGAGGACCTGAGAGGGATGGAGGACACAGAGATTGGGCGGAGGACCTGAGAGGGATGGAGGACACAGAGATTGGGCGGAGGACCTGAGAGGGATGGAGGACACAGAGATTGGGCGGAGGACCTGAGAGGGATGGAGGACACAGAGATTGGGCGGAGGACCTGAGAGGGATGGAGGACACAGAGATTGGGCGGAGGACCTGAGAGGGATGGAGGACACAGAGATTGGGCGGAGGACCTGAGAGGGATGGAGGACACAGAGATTGGGCGGAGGACCTGAGAGGGATGGAGGACACAGAGATTGGGCGGAGGACCTGAGAGGGATGGAGGACACAGAGATTGGGCGGAGGACCTGAGAGGGATGGAGGACACAGAGATTGGGCGGAGGACCTGAGAGGGATGGAGGACACAGAGATTGGGCGGAGGACCTGAGAGGGATGGAGGACACAGAGATTGGGCGGAGGACCTGAGAGGGATGGAGGACACAGAGATTGGGCGGAGGACCTGAGAGGGATGGAGGACACAGAGATTGGGCGGAGGACCTGAGAGGGATGGAGGACACAGAGATTGGGCGGAGGACCTGAGAGGGATGGAGGACACAGAGATTGGGCGGAGGACCTGAGAGGGATGGAGGACACAGAGATTGGGCGGAGGACCTGAGAGGGATGGAGGACACAGAGATTGGGCGGAGGACCTGAGAGGGATGGAGGACACAGAGATTGGGCGGAGGACCTGAGAGGGATGGAGGACACAGAGATTGGGCGGAGGACCTGAGAGGGATGGAGGACACAGAGATTGGGCGGAGGACCTGAGAGGGATGGAGGACACAGAGATTGGGCGGAGGACCTGAGAGGGATGGAGGACACAGAGATTGGGCGGAGGACCTGAGAGGGATGGAGGACACAGAGATTGGGCGGAGGACCTGAGAGGGATGGAGGACACAGAGATTGGGCGGAGGACCTGAGAGGGATGGAGGACACAGAGATTGGGCGGAGGACCTGAGAGGGATGGAGGACACAGAGATTGGGCGGAGGACCTGAGAGGGATGGAGGACACAGAGATTGGGCGGAGGACCTGAGAGGGATGGAGGACACAGAGATTGGGCGGAGGACCTGAGAGGGATGGAGGACACAGAGATTGGGCGGAGGACCTGAGAGGGATGGAGGACACAGAGATTGGGCGGAGGACCTGAGAGGGATGGAGGACACAGAGATTGGGCGGAGGACCTGAGAGGGATGGAGGACACAGAGATTGGGCGGAGGACCTGAGAGGGATGGAGGACACAGAGATTGGGCGGAGGACCTGAGAGGGATGGAGGACACAGAGATTGGGCGGAGGACCTGAGAGGGATGGAGGACACAGAGATTGGGCGGAGGACCTGAGAGGGATGGAGGACACAGAGATTGGGCGGAGGACCTGAGAGGGATGGAGGACACAGAGATTGGGCGGAGGACCTGAGAGGGATGGAGGACACAGAGATTGGGCGGAGGACCTGAGAGGGATGGAGGACACAGAGATTGGGCGGAGGACCTGAGAGGGATGGAGGACACAGAGATTGGGCGGAGGACCTGAGAGGGATGGAGGACACAGAGATTGGGCGGAGGACCTGAGAGGGATGGAGGACACAGAGATTGGGCGGAGGACCTGAGAGGGATGGAGGACACAGAGATTGGGCGGAGGACCTGAGAGGGATGGAGGACACAGAGATTGGGCGGAGGACCTGAGAGGGATGGAGGACACAGAGATTGGGCGGAGGACCTGAGAGGGATGGAGGACACAGAGATTGGGCGGAGGACCTGAGAGGGATGGAGGACACAGAGATTGGGCGGAGGACCTGAGAGGGATGGAGGACACAGAGATTGGGCGGAGGACCTGAGAGGGATGGAGGACACAGAGATTGGGCGGAGGACCTGAGAGGGATGGAGGACACAGAGATTGGGCGGAGGACCTGAGAGGGATGGAGGACACAGAGATTGGGCGGAGGACCTGAGAGGGATGGAGGACACAGAGACTGAGTGGAGGACCTGAGAGGGATGGAGGACACAGAGACTGGTCGGAGGACCTGAGAGGAAGGATGGGTCCTGATGACCCTGTCTGGGCTCCACTCACGTGTACAGGCGGAGGTGGGGGAGTCACTCATTGCCCGGTAGTAGTTGGGATCACAGTCACAGATTTGGGAGGCCAGGGTGTCGGAGTGACTGAAGGGAGGACACATGGAGCACAGTTGGTCTCCCGGGGAGTCCTTGTAGTAGCTCAGGTCACAGGCTGCCGGAGATAGAAGAGGGGACATTGTCAGACAAGATGGCTGCTACAGGAAGAAGAAGAAGGCCGTGTTATACTTCGCTCAGTCAGGCTCCATTGTATATTACAGTCCCGTTACCCTTGCATGTTTCAGGTGCTGGGGGAGGAGTAGAACACAGAGAGGATGTAAGCAGTGTGAGGCTGGAAGAGACGCGGAGGTTTGGGGAGGTCCCGAGGTCTCCAGCTCATCTTGATGGAGCAGCTATACGACCAGTTGCCGG